CACGGGAGTTCAGTTTCAGCCCTGCCCTGACTGCAGAGGATCGAGTCAACTGTGTGCACCGTAGCAAAGTACGATGCCTTCTGTTGACTGAAACACACCTACTACAGCAATATGTCATGTATCACGTAGGAGCAACAGTGCTAATCTTTTTGACAATGAATCTGGTTTCAGTTTGAGGTTTTTTCACTCGAAATACAGTTCAGAAATTAGAATTCATTCTTCAGAACAGATGCACTGTCAAGATTTGTTTATATCACGCATTCACAGGCTTGATCGTCAACAACAGCCCATATGGGCTCGTCATCTGTCCTATCAGAACCTCCTCAGCAGCCACTCAGTTTCTAGTTATGAATACCCTAAAGGGTGATCATAAAAATCTCGTTTTGTACCGACAAGATACGGCTGAATGCTAACCAGCAACTGTCAAAAAAGTCAGGAGGTCATATATGGGAGTAAACCCTGCCAGGACAAAGACTGAACATGTGGGAATTGTACAATCTTTTATCTTATTTCCTCTACCTTGTGCCTAAAATTGAGTTCTGATGTACGCACACAATTCCTGATCACAAACACGCAAAACATGCAAGACTATTTCTCTATGTGCTGCTAAAATGGCTGCAGCGGAGTTGTGTCTCTATGAGAAAGAGAGAGAGAGGAATATGTTGTACATGTTGCCTGCCAATAAACAAACAGTTGTCAATCCATTCACAAATAGTTAAACAAATTAAAATAATGCTACATGACAAATAGAAGGCTTCAAACAGACCCTGCGCTCTGCCACATAATTCCTGATCGGAGCACCTGTATTTTTTCTGGGGGTCGTTACATTTGACGAGTGAGGTGCAAAAGGTCTCTGAAAATTTCAGGCCAAGCAATTAAACAGGAGAGATGCAGAAATGTACCGACAACACAGATAGCGACATCACATCTCAGGTCATCTGCAGCATCAGAACATGCGCAAATGTCATTCAATTATCGCCTCTCACAGCCCAAACACAGAGGCACGCACACCGACCACACCGTGAGCGACTTTGCTTAAAACAGGATCACAGATCAGTGACGAGTTACATTCACGTCACAGCAGTCAGTCCGGAGGTGTGAACCCAACAGCCCAAAGCCAGACCGGCCAAACCTGGACGTGCGTGCAGCTGTGGGGAAACACGAAGCTAACCCGATTACGTCCGCCTCAACTGCAGCTTTACACAAGAGGCTGACGTGCCGTATGAATCTCCCTAATATGAAACAGATCTCATCGGGACACAGAGCGCTGGTGAAGGTTACAACGCCCCTCCCTCTCTATTTAAAGCCCCCTTCTGCCTTTGCCACTGACTTTGTTACGCTTTAATTGAGTGAGTTTAGAGCTTAGGACTTTTGTAAAACAGTTCAAAATGAATTTGACATTAGTTAATGAAAGGCTGTGCAACTTCGATGATAAAGTACCAGCAGTGATGGAAACATAGGAGGTCACTTGTCTCTTTAAAATGGTGCATTTGCTGAATATAAATGATAAACGTCTGTGACCAAACTGCTTTTTGACAGCTGCTATTCATCTCTGCAATTGCAGGTAACATACTCCTTCATCAACATTGCTTTCTCTGCTAACAATTAGCACAGTTAGCTAGACTCAGAGTCTACATGCCCTAATGAAGGAAGACAAAATAATGTAAACACTTGATGGTTACAGTCTGTTTTTCATCTGGCCTGGTGTCCAGCACTTTGATACGTGACTGTTCAAAGCAACATATATGACAAATATGCCACATTATCGATGCACAAATTGCAATGGGTCAAAAGAACTCCAAAGTAACTCATTTTGTCGAGGGGAACAGTATGGAAAATATTGACAATGTCCACCAAACACAGACATACTGCAGCAACAAAAAGGCAATAGAGGCAACATACTATGAGAAGAGCACAGATCATGAAATCCTCCGCTGCTTATCATCAATAAAACAAAACAAATACTACATGAAAGAATACACACAAACATTATTCCACATTGCAGAGAGACATTGTATCCTGTTCCAAGCAGCCAAGGCGCATGAAACTCACTCAACGACAGAATCCACTTTCAAGCAAAAGAAGAAGAAAAAAGTACCAAAACTGTATCCGCGCTGTTCAGGGGAACCAACAGCACTCACCTTTTCAATTTTGTCCAGCCATTCCTTGTTCTGGGCCAACTCGGCCATGAAGGCCTGGTGCTTCAGCCATTTCTTATGAAGCTTCTGGGTCTCGTCTCGGCTGCTGTCCTTCGCCATCAGCATCTTCTCACACACCCAGTCGCCCAGCTGGACGAGGGAGGCAGGGAGAGAATAAAAGAGAGCGAGAGAGAGAGAGGTGTCAATACTGGATGGGCATACATACTGTAAATAACTGTTGGTGCTTATTTTAAAAAGATTCTGATGCTCCAAAACACTCTCACACACACTAACATGCTGAAATTGTGTCGGCTTCATAGAGGATCATACTGTATGCTCTGTTGCATAACACACACACACACACACACACACACACACACACACTTACACTACATTATCATAATACGCACATGTACATTTCCATTAGCTTCTTTACCTTGTAGAAGCTAAAGATAAACAGGGTCAAGTGTGTTCTAAATAAACACACCAGCGACACGTGCAGCGGGAAACACAAGGTCAAACACACAGAGTGAATATTTAATGACGCCCAGCAGACGCATGTAGGCAGACACACGTGTACCAACAAGCATGGCGGCAAGAATTCACATGTACACAAAGCAACCACACACACCTGCACAGTAAACAGCCCCTCCCACACACACACACACACTACTACACATCTACTGTTCATCAGAGAGTCAAATGTGGACAAACGCACGGTGAGATCACTTCACGCCTGCGCTGACCCAATCACCCGAAATATTCAGGTCAGCATCGGCGCCCTCGCCTCTCCGTCACCGGCGACCTCACACCTGCACCCCCGGCCCTCTCTCCTAACCCAGCTGTGGAGCGCTTAACGCGAACGAGCCAGCGGGATCGTGGCGGCTGCAGGGAGCCGTCGGCGTCCGCATCCTCACCGGTCTGCCGCCACACACATGCAAAGACACCCGCAGAGCCAGATGGAGAGAGACAGAGGAAGAGAGAGAGACAGAGAGAGAGAGAGAGAGAGAGAGAGAGAGAGAGAGAGAGAGAGAGACGCCTTTTTGAGAGCTGAGCACGAGACGGCCGCGCGAAAAGGTGTGCGGAGAGGAAATTGCCAAGCGGGAGGGTAAATAACAACAATACTAGAGACTGAGGAGACAGACTGGAGACTTCAAACTGAGGCTGCGCTCCCCCCCGTTCTCCCTCCCTCTCTCTCTCTCCCTCTCTACCTCTCTCTATCCTCCCTATGTTGTTGACGATTCGCTGAACGCTCAACGAGGAGAGAGAGAGAGAGAGAGAGAGAGGAGGGGGCGGACCGGTGACGAGTGAGAGGGCAAGAAGGAGGAGAACTGAGAGGAGAGAAGAAGAAAAAAAAATCATCCTCCCCCAACACAATAAAATGGCAGGCAACCGAGCCAGTGCATGGGCAGCGCCTCAGGGCTCACCGATCAAGGCTAATGATGCTGGGCTGGTGGAGGTTGGCGGCGGGGGGGTCAAAGCAGGAGGATGGACGAGTGTGGAGGGAGAGAGACTGAAAACCACAATAAGAGATTTGCTTTTGGGACTGAAACGCGCCCGGTCTTTGCGAACAGCCGAGCTCACGACTCCTCTACAGCTGCTTTTGTATTATCCTTCCAACTCCCGCACTGCACCCCCCCCCCCCCCCCCCCCCCCCCCCCCCCCCCCCCCCCCCCCCCCACCCCCTCTACCATCCCTCTCTTCCCCTCTCTGCAGCAGTCCCAGGCAGCCTTACTCTCCGTCTCCAGCTTGCCTAACTGCTGCAGTGGTAAAGCAGACAGAAAACCAAAAGAGAGAGAGAGAGAGAGAGAGAGAGATAGAGAGAGAGAGAGTGAGACAGTAAAGAGGGTTGGACAGAGGAAAGGAGACAGAAAAAAGGTGGGACGATAGTGGGAAGAGACGGACAAGTAGTAGAGGATTGGACAGAGCAGGGATTCGTCCTGAATGATGTGTTTGTAGCTTGATACATTGACTGCTCCTCTTTTCTTTAAAAGGACAAGGGGGTTGGATTTCCGTCCAACACCCCCTCTGTTTGTCTTCCTCTTCCTGGAGCTATATCACGCACGAGTCAGGACACGCCGGCTAACATGATTAAAGATGCCTCACGCATTCACACACACACACACACACACACACACACACACACACACACACACACACACACACACACACGCACACACACACACACACACACACACACACAGAGGCAAACAGGAGTGTGTGCTCCTGATTGTGCATTAACACACGGGCTCTCACACACACACCTACAGGTCCCATGACCGCAGGGGTCATGGAGGGTCACCGCCTTATGAACCCCTTGAGACTGTAAATGAATTGAATGAGGGAAGAGGAGGAGGAGAAGAGAAGAAGTGTGTTGGGAAGGGCACAAAATTAATGAGGATGAATGAGGCGGGGGGGGGGTAAGGAGAAGTTTGTCTGACGTTGTAGGGGGAAGAAAGGGACAGAAAAGAAGAGGGGGAGGAGGGAGAGAGGAGGATTGATGGCCTCATCATCACGTCATCAGACTCCACCTACTTAGTGTATTTGAGCTACCGGTCTTGGATTCTGTTGGACGAAAATAATTTAAAGACATTGCACTGGCTTCTGGGAAAAAATGATGGAGGTCTGACATTTTATCGACTTAACCTTTGATGGGTCAATAAAAAAGAAGAATTACTTACAGAACTACTAGAAACCCACTCGGATTATTTTGCAGTAAAGTAGAGCATTTTCTGAATGCGTTTTGAATAATTGTGACACAGACAGGATTTCAAGATGCACTGATTACTAATATAAAGCTGTATAGCATAAATAAATAAATACAAATTAGCATAATATATGGGGAAAGCAAGAAGGTTTCTGTTAAGTTAAGTAGAAGTTAAGTATATAATATTCGTACTTGAGGCTTTTCCAAGGTACTCCTGCATGTCCTAAACATCTAGTTTAGTGTTTCTCTAGCACAGCTTACAGAACACGTCATCACACAGATTTTGAGGATGAAAGACATTGTATTAAGTGACCGAATGATTCCAGGACAAATGCTACTCCACTCATATACTGTAGGTAGACATTTTAGAAACAGATGTTGATGGTGCAAGATCACAGATTGGGAGCATTTCGATTTCCTCTCAACGACTCTCAACATGGTGACAGAGAGCTGGCTGCTCACAGCCAGCGGTGTTAACAGCGCTAACGGTGCAAACTACGGCAACAACAGTGCAGACAGAGCTAACACAAGGGGGGAATGCGTAGCGAGGGACTTTTGCATGTCTTAGGTCGACTATATAGAGACACACTGTGTTCAACCATGCAGCCTTTGGGCATACACCTGCTGAAACAGACCTGGAGTTGAAGCCAGGTGGAAAGCTACAGTATGATCTCTAACTGATTCACCTCTTCAGGACTAAAGGGTACTGAAGAGGTGAACTCAGTTATGGAGGTGTACTGTAGATAAAGAGGGAGAGACGAGTTGAAAAGGGATTAGTTACACAAATGTCCAACTACCAAGATAATTGAGAACACGTGTGAATGTTTACATGTCTTGGTGGTGTCATCTGCAAATAACTGAACCAAATACAAACATGAATACATCGTTTATAACTAGAATTACCACCTCACGGTTGCCAACCAGTCGAATTACAGTTTATATTCGTATCTGTCCAAAATGTCATCAACTGCCATGATTAGCATATGAATTCATCAGTTATGGGAGAAAAAAGTGTTTTGTGAGGTGACCTTTGACCACCAAATTCTGATCAGTTCGTCCGTGGGTCCAGGTGGACGTTTGATCCGACGGAAGGACAGACGGGACAGACGACCCGATAACATGATTCATAATAAACCCAAGAAATATGTCTAAAAGAGCAGAGAGTGTATTACAACTACTGTAACTCTGGGGTAGCTCGACTCTTAAAGTCTGTACCACAAAATAAGATGAACCTTGTTAGTGCAACAGAAATGCTGATGACTTCCTGCAGCACTGCTTGCCCTCATGGTCAACCTATCACTGCTGGAATAGTTTGATTTTCTGACACCCACTGAAAAGACACAAGTTTGTACAAATGAACCACAAGGCTCATGTGCGAAATCAACCTCTAAGACCAAAGAGCATAAACTGCGGACGTGACCGTTTTGTGTACAGCAAAAATATTCGATCGTACTGGCTCGGAGTAAACGTGTTTGCGAGTAATGGAAAGCAGCGGCGTGAGGCAGGAAACATGAGGATGCAGCATGGACTGAGCACAAGAACACACCCTGGCAGCTGAGACAGACCTACAGACTGACGCAGTGTCACTCGCACACAGTCGGCCGCACGCACACACACACACACACACACACACACACACACACACACACACACACACACGCACACACAGACAGGCACACATGCCCCCACACGGTCGGGGGAAGTCTCCTCATGCATACTGTATTTCTATAGACATGCACACCACACACCAGCAGACAAATAGATGTATAGCTGACACACACACACACACACACAACTACACACGTACATGTATGTACACACAGTGGGATACACTCTTCCTCTTTTGAATTAGTGATGAGGAAATGTGCAGCTGAATTATTCAGCAGAGCCAAAGAGAGAAAGTTGCTGAAACTAAACAAGGTTTTGGCTCAGAAAGAAGCCCGTGACTCCGCAGGGTGAGAGAGCAAGATACTGCAGGACACGCATGATGTGTGAGGACCACATCAAAGAAAGATTCCAACAAGGAATCAGGATTAAATATGTGATGCTAAACATACTGTGTGCTGACATGGTTTTGCATGTCAGTGAAGTAGTTTGTATGTGGTTCTGCTGTCAAAGTGTAGCTCTGAGTGAAAAGAGGTTTTACTTTATATTGCTACACTGTATAAATGCTCATTATCAGATTTACCGATCCAGACCATCATTTTACGACAAACTGCTGAAAGACTAGTAAATAAATTAAGTGTTTACATTGCAAACTATATACAAGCTGGTTGGAACTTTTTACAACTGGTATGGAAGAGCATTAGGACCAGGCATACGGAACAAAATATTTCAATTTTGTGAAGATTTTGTATTTTATTTAGCATTTTGAGAATAAATTCGTTTTTAAATGTCAAGAATAAAGACGAAATGCTGAGAATAAACGGAGACACCATTGGAGAATGAAGTGGAAATTGTGAGCATAAAGTTGAAATTTTTAGAATAAAGTCAAAATGCCATTTCCAAATAAAGTCAAAATGTTGAGAACAAAGACAAAATGTTAAGAATAAACTCAAAACACCATTCAAAAATAAAGCTGAAATGTCGAGAATGTCAAACGTTTGAGAATAAATCAAACACCTAGTGTTTGCACATATACTGAAATGTCCATTTTATTCTTGACATTTTGACTTTATTCTTGAATCACAACATTAAGAAATCACCCTGGTGATGAATGACAAAATGGTAAAATCGTATTGTTTACATTTCCACTTAAAAACATGGGACAGTTAATTCAAACCCATATATTTGGCTTATATTCACACATTCATTCACGGTAATTGCCAAGAAATCTTAAACATTGGTAAAAGTGATCAAAACTTTTGAAATAGAGATTTCTCGTGCTGCCACTAGAGGCTGCCAAAATGTGAAGTTGGCTATCGTGACAAAAAGGAACAAAGAGATGGTTTTCATTTTTTATCCCCTGTGAAAATACTCTCAAACCAATTTAATACAATTCCTCGCCAGTGACTTCAACCAGTACAACCAGTCTATTGGCCTCCTACCTCATGACAGTCCTGAAGAAACCTCTGAAGTTCCCACTGGTCGTTGAGTTTCTCCAGCCACTGCTGGGCCAGCTCTCTGTTATGGTTCCCCCTGAAGCAGTGAGGGACGGGAAGTTCAGTTTCAAGTATAATAAATAACTAAAAGTGGACAGAACTATAACATAGGCATGAGTGTATCTATCTTTGTTTATCTTTTGACAATCCAAACTCATTGTCTGACCGTCATCTGACTAAAATTCCCAACAAACAATGATGGAGGAATAATAATTGTATTTGTAGCAAACAGCAAACAAGAGCAGTTATCATTTGAATGAAAGAAAAAGCACCTTAATTAACGTAATAATCGTGAAATGGTTTACTACAGAAACAGAATGTAACACTTTAATATAAGTACCTTGCACTGTGCTCATTTATTTGTCCCCATGGGAGAAAAATTAATGTCCAACCAGATAATTCATGTAAATTAAATCTAAAAACCATATGGTTCCTTACGTTGCTATTGTTGGACACACACACACACACACACACACACACACACACACACACACACACA